TGCTGCTCCCTGACTGGGATTCCAGTCACGGGCTTGAAATGAAGGTGGTAAGACCTATCTTAGGAGGTTTTTATTTCTAGATTAAATGAGACGATAATTAAAAAATATTGTTTAAACATCACTTACTTTTGTATGTAGAATATTTTGCAGTCACAATTTAGATATGTAAAGAGGTGACTGTTTCTCTGTATAGATCAAGCTCAAATTCTGCTGATGGTAGAAAACTTGTGCATTGAAGAAAACTCCACTAAGTTATACTACTTTAGTCTCTTGGAGCTAAATATTCAAGCAATCCAGAATCTTTCCCAGCCCCTCTGCACTTCTGGGCCAACTCCTCCAGACTCAGATTCTTCGGCAGGAGCATCTGTTGGACTAAGCCTGGGTCACATGCCTTCACACAAGCTTTCAGAAAGAGAGCAGAGGAATGTCTTCACCCCTTCAGCTTCCATAGTTAAGTACAAGATCTTTTACACTCAAATAGAGACTTCTCCACATGCCAAGCAGCCAAAACCCAGCAAATGTCTCCCCTCTCTCCCTTTTCAGAAAGGGGAATTTTGTTTCTCTCTTACATCTGTTTCCCCAGAATGTTCTACACTCCATGACTCAGCCATTCTCAGTGTCTAAGCTCTTACATCATTATGAGTTCTTCCCCAAACTATGGCTTAAGATACAACTATGCTTTAAGCCCTTCAGGCTTTGGCTTTTGATCTGCAGAGGTTTTTGGAATAAAAAATTCATTGTAATAGCTTAATGTATGGAAGGCCATGGCAACTAGAAAAGTGGGGGAAAGAAAAACCTTGGCAGAAAAATCTCCTTATTTTATCCTCTTATACTCTCTTTATTGTTGTTGTTAGAAAATGTATGGGATGCTGCCAAAGCTGTACTTAGAGGAAAATACACAGCATGAGAAATATGAGCATAAGCTTTGAGTTAGTCCTGGGTTCAAAATATCCCTGCTCTGCTACTTACCAGCCATGTGACCTTGGAGAAATTATTTAATCTCCTCAATCCTTAGTTGCATCAGCTGTAAATAGTGTTAATAATACTATTTGCCTCATAGAGAGATTGTGAGAATTGCATGAGATAATTCATTTAAAACACTTGCTACTATGCTTGCGTGAAAGGAATCCTTGGACAATCTTGAGAAAGTGGTCCAGGAATCTTCTTGGTCATTCTTGGCCACTTGTCACATGACAGTTCTTCCAGTGGGAACTGTCAGTAAAAGGGCATGGTACACAAAGGCTCAACCCTCTCTAATCCCAGGAGATAATAGACATAAGATATAACCAAGCATGGAGTGTTTGCTAGATTTTACATTTTGCTGATTTGTAGTATAATGTTCCTGTTAATATACAGACCAAGTTCATCACTCAGTGCTCAAAATGAGAAAGAAAATCTGTAGTTAGATGACATCACTGTCAATCTTGGATAAGCAAGAGGAAGGTAGGAAAGCAGAAGGGAGAGAAGTAGTCACCAGGTCATGTCCATGGAGCTAAAGCGTTGATGAGCCTCTGATTGACCCCCTTCCTAAGAGAAGGGGCTCATTTGACTCTCTGCCCAGGGCTTGGAAACCAGGAAGGAGAGAAGCTTCACCATCAAAGGGTGGAGAAAACGTATAGATAGTCACTTATTGTTACTTAATACTTCCTTGATTGAACATAAAGGGACTTCAATGAAATCCCTTCCTATTGATCTCTGTATTGCTGTAGACTGAATGTTTGTGTCCCTCTAAAATTCATATGGTGAAACTATTCCCCAAGGTGATGGTATTTGGAGGTGGGGCCTTTGAGAAGTGATTAGGTTATGAGGGTGGAGTCCTCACGAATGGGATTAGTGCCTCTATAAAAGGGACTCCAGAGAGCTCTCCTGCCCTCTTTCCTCCCGGTGAGGAAACAACTAGAAGTTGGCAGTCTGCAACTCAGAAGAGAGCTCTCACCAGCACCCAACCATGCTGGCATCCTGATCTCGGACTGCCAGCCTCTAGAACAGTGAGAAATAAATTTCTGTTGTTTCTGAGCCACCCAGTCTATGGTATTTTGCTCTAGCAGCCCCAGCTGACTAAGACATGTATCTTAGAATCCTGAACCTTACATTTACTGACTATGAAAATAATCTATTACCGAATTTGGAGCCTGGAAGGAGAAGGCTCTCCCCTGATCTTTGATAAAAAAATTCCCCTGAAACAGCCTGAAACATGATAGATGGCCGATAAATCACAACTATTATTATACTCCTTATTTAAAAAGAGAAAAATAAACTCTAAGTGTTGGACTAAAGAAGCTAGACAAATTACAAAACAAATTAAAAAAAGAACTATAAGCATAGTTGAACTCTGGTTAGTGAGTGAATGAATGCTGACGTGTTTCGGGGTGAAATATTGACGTTTACAACTTACTCTGAAATGCATAAAAAAATAAAATGGATTCAACTTACTTTGAAACACACATAAAATAAGATTGATGGATAGAAGGAGAGATGGATAGCTAGTGACAAAGCAAATCCAGCAAAACGCTCACAGTAGAATCGAGACGGTGAGCACAGGCATTTTCGCCTTAAAATTGTCTGCAGCTTTGAAATTTTCCCTAATAAAGTGTTTAAAAACTAACTGAATAAAGAAATTAATATAGATAAAAACAGAAAATTATGCATTAGAAAACAGAAAGGAGCAGAATTGAAAAATACATCCTAAAGCTGGAAGACATATTGAGTAGATAAATCTCTACAAAATCAAATCAATAAAAAGTCTAAAAGGAGAGAAAACTCAAAAGTACTACATTAGTAATAAAAAAGGGGATATGATCTTTTTTTAGAAATGTTCAGAAAAGTAATATCCATGTCTCTACTAGTAGTTTTTCTGAATTGGGCAATTTTCTAGGAAAATACAAATTTCTGATATTTATTTAAGAAGAGGAAAAAAAACTCTATGTGAACAAATATAGCCATAAAAAAAAGAAAAGGAAAATATCACTGCTTACCCAAATAGAGATGGACTCAGGTAAGTTTGCAGGCAAAGCTCGGTCAAGCCCTTGAATGACAGATGAGTCTGGTACCATGTACATGTTCTAAAGCAGAGAAAACCTCCCCCATTCGTTTAGTGAAGCTAGAATGATCCTGACTCCAAAACCCGAAAAATGTAGCAAATACAAAAAACCAGAGTGCAACAGCATTTATGAATATAAATACCAAAATCCAAAATAAAACATCACCAAATTGAATCTAGCAGTGTATTGTTAGAATAATACATCATGACCAAATAAAACTTATTTCGAGAGTATAAGGATGGTTCAATATTAAGATATATACTCGCAATTTATAATATTAATAAGTCAAAGGAAAAATATAATGTAAACAAGTGCTGAAAATATCTTTGATACAATTCAATATCCATTACTGAGTTTTAAAAAAATCTCTTATTTTCCCTTAGCAGAATAAAGCGAAGCCTCCTAAAACAAACGGTAAAACATGTCATACTTAAACACGTCCCACTTAACAGTAAAACAATGGGACACTCCCGTTGAAATCAAGAACATCATAAAATTTCTTGCCATCATTACTGTTAATCAACATTGATGTGGACTTCTAGCCAGTACTAAGACAACAAAAAGAGATAAGAGGTATAGATATTGGAAAAGGAAGAGCCAAGTTTTCATTATAGTTTCTCCATGGAAAAACCTAAGAAAGTCCACTAAATTCATATAAAAAAATTTACATGATGGCCAGGTCCCAAAAAAATATTTAAAAAAATCAGCTCTTTGGGGGCCAGCCCGGGGGCATAGTGGTTAAATTCACATGATCCACGTCAGCGGCCGGGGTTTGTGAGTTCGGATCCCAGGCACAGACCTAGCACCACTCATCAAGCCATGCTGTTGTGGCGTCCCACATACAAAATAGAGGAAGATTGGCACAGATGTTAGCTCAGTGACAATCCTCCTCACCAAAAACCAAAAATGAAAACAAAAACACCAAAACAAAGTCAGCTTTTTTACATAGCATCAATAACCAGTTCGAACATATCGGGGGAGAAACACTGAAAACAGTAACGACAATAACCCCTTTTAAAAGCACCTGGGTATAGACTTATGTTGCTATAATACATTCATTTTATCATGAGGATTGTAGACGTGCCTCCCATGTGACAGCCTGGGCTCTTTTAGGAAGAAAGTAAATACTTGCTATGATGAGGGGTGGCTCCTCGCCACGGGGAAAGTAAGCTAGATCCAGAGCGCCACGTTCCCCACACGTGGGGCCAGAGCCCAATCCTCTGCTTGAGAGGCAGCAAAGCCGGCTTTGAACTGGCGAAGCCTGAACGAGCGCGGGCCACCGTGCAGCTCTGGGCTGAAGCCCGAGAGCCGGCAGCTGTGTTGGTGTAGCTCCAGAAGGGGCAGAGGCTGGCCTGCTCTCTGGGTGGTGGAGCAGTGGGGTTCTTGGGGAGATAGGGAGAGACTCCGGACAACACGGGCGTGAAGAAGGGCTAGGAGAGGCAGATGGAGAGGAATGAGGTCAGGAAGGAAGGAGCATTCCGTGGGCACCTCCGAACGTTTAAACCAAGAGCTCTTGCCCATCTTGGGCGGTGTGCCAGAATGAGTGGGCAGATCCTGTCACATCTCCTGGTCCTTACCCAGCATTGCCCTGACCTGCTGCGTCGGTATCTTCTTTTTGCTCCACTTCCTTCCCTAAACTGACTCTCCGCCCTGCTCTCTGCCCAGAAGGCGGACCTGTCGAGTTACCACAATGGGCTCCAGGAGTGGGGAGACCTGAGGGCGGTGGGGGAAATGCCTGCTCCAGGCAGTGCTCTCCTGGGTTCCGGTAACTACCCCACCACTTTGGCCTTGGGGGTGCTAACAGCCTCTGTTACAGCTCACGCCCTGCACTCTTCCTGTGGTTTAGTACATCCTGCTCACACCTTTGTAAATAGCTCCTTTATTGAGACTTCCTCAGATTATCCTAATTTGGGTGGGTCACTTGTTTACCTGCTGGGTCCTGACCAACATAAACCTTACCTGACAGCTCAGTAAAGCAACTGCTCACATCTCCAGCAGAGTTCAGGGGGAGATTGGTCTGGTGAAGACAGGTGAGCTGGCCCTCAGGAAGAGGACAGCACGTCGCCTGATTGCTGGCTGGGGTTCTGGTCAAGATGGGGCTTCACCCTGTGAACCATTAGACAGGGAAATGCCAACCAGCAGACAACTTCCCAAATAAGAAGCCATGTTCCTGAACTTGCCCTCACAGGGCAGTGAGGTAAGTGCCTCCACCCCGATGTGGACAGAGGGCCCCGCCCCAACGATAGAGAGAGAGATACGTATGGAGGATTCTGTTGTGCACTCACTGGTACAGGCAGGGAGAGCAAGGGGCAGTATGGGTGACTTTTTCCTTTGTTTAAATTTCCAGTATTTGGGGAATGCACATGTTGTTTTCATAATGAGAAAATACAGTGAACTTCATTTTGGGAAAATGAAAGAGCAGGTGGAGTTGGAGGCAGGAGTGTGTTAGCAGGCTTCCTCATGGGAAGGCTTCCTGCCTTCCCCTTCCCCCGCAGCAGCCTGACTTCCTGAGAACCTCACTCCACCTTTGGACTTTAGACTTTTTAGACCTTGCGTGTGCTCTCTGTGCACCATTTTGTGTGGGCCAGCGAGAACAAGGTGAAAAGCGCAGTGTAAACTGTCTTGGAAAGTGCCAGAGAGCTGTGTCAGTTACTTGTATGATTCCTGCTGCTCCTCGACCATGCATGTCTGCCTTGTTGGGCTGACCTGACCTTGAACCTATTCCACTGTGCCCGCCCCTGGTGCCCACCTTCAGGAGGCTCTGCCGCACGGCTGCTCCATCCCTGAAAGCACTCATCCCGCCCAGCTGCCTTGTGCCAGGGAAAGCCCAGACCTGGCCTCAGGCCTTGGCTTTGCCCTGACTTGCTGTGTGACCTTGGGCTAGTAATTCTGCTCTTCTGGCCTGTCTTCCTCTATACAAAGTGGAAATCCACCCCCCAGCTCCAAGCTTGCTTGCCTGGGGAAAGGAATTTCCCTAGGCATGAGCCCTCTGCTTTCTCTTCCCCTCAACAGGCAGAGTGCCCAACGCAGGCTCCTTCCGCAGCAGGGAGAGAGGGAGAGAGGGAGGGAGAAGGCTCCCGGGGCAGGGCCTCCAGTGCCTTTGAGAGATGGAGCGCCCTCTGGGGGAGCCTGTGGGTTTGGCTCCCACTAGCTCAGGGATGAAGGGAAACCATTAAATCAGACGAAGGACAATAAACATCTTCTGTGTCAAGACCATCAGTGTTGCTGGTGGGTTTAACTTTCTCCCGGCAGTGGAGCTGAAACAGACGCAGGCTGGACCCTGAGGGAGGGCACCGGGCGCAGGGGAAGCCTGGCACCCAGCCTCATTCAGTTAATGTTTGCTCAGCAGAGTCGAGGATGAGCACAGGACAGGGAAGGGAAGCTCGCCTGACAGCGAGGTCAGTGGATGATCTCGAAGGTCTCTCCTGACACGGAAGTTTGACACACACAGTTCTCTGCACACCAGAGCTATCCAGATCAGTCAGTGGAGCCGGGAGGGAAGGGCAGATGCTCTGCATGCCACTCTGGCCCGGCATTCAAGGCCAGCACGTCTGACTTGCCTCACACCTCCCCTCATCACCCCTTCCCAACCCATCACCTCCACTGTTCTACCACTGGGACGGCCCCAGACTCTCCTGCTCTGTGCCTTTGCTCAAGCCGTACCCTCTACTTAGAATGCCCCTCCTTAAAGCCATCTGGACGAGCCTCCCTATTTCTACCTGGCCCAGCTCAAATCAAACCCTCAAAGAAGCCTTCTGTCTCCTTGTTAGACTTTCTCTCCTCTTCACACCTCCTGTGGCACGTTGTCTGCACAACCGGATTACCTGCTCCTCCTGTCTTGCACAAGCAAACCATAACTAAGTGCGATGCCACTTGGGAGCTCCTAGTTGACACACTTCCTGACTAGAAACGAGCGTCCCACAGCTTATATTGAAGACATCCTAATGACCATTAGTGACTGACGCCAGTGACATGCCAAGCTCACTGTCCTGAGGAAGTGAGCCTTGCCTATGTACAGGGCGGAGACCACAGCTCCCACCCGCTACTCTAGGCAGTTAGAGCCACTCCTCCAGCCTGGGCAGCGGGAGGCAGAGACGCCTTTGAATTGGCTATGGCACTGAAGTTTTTAAAATAACCAGGAGAGAGGCCTGAGGAACGAAGTGAGACTGAAGCAGTAAAGGCATGGAACTTGACAGAGATGTCGTTATGGGCTCCACTACCTAGTAGGAACCAGCGGCAGTTACTGGACAAAGAAAACTGTGCTCATATTTGTACTCGGATAAGCTGAGACAGCAGTTTTATCTCGAGGCAGATGCACTTCGCCTTTTTACTTGCCCTCCTGCACCTGATGTGATCTGGGCAGCAGCGTGTGTGGTCCCTGACTAGCCAGCTGTGGCCACCCTGCTCCCCGGAGCCAGTAATTGGCCTGGGCATGGGATCCAGCCAAGGAGACACAGGGGTGACTGCCGAGGAATATTTTTCTTACTCATAAGAGGCCCTGGCAGCAAAAGGAGAAGGCACTGTGGCTCTCATGCCCTTTCTTGCTGAGAACACTGTGCTGGACCTTAGCTAGGAGCTGAGACAGCCCCCATGAGACCAAGAGGGCAGAGCTGTGATCTCTTCGTCATGCACACAAAATGAACATTTGGTGGCGTGAATGATGTGCATTTGCTGTCCCCAGCCTACAGAAGAATGATTATGTAGGATTAAGGAGAGACCAACTGTGTAGTGTCATCCAGTGACAATCAAGCCTTAAGCCCAGATCCTGTCCCGGAGCCCTTGGGAAGCTCCCTGGCAGAGCTGACTCTGGAGCGAGACCTCCAGGAAGCAGGCAGAATCTTCCACAAATTGACCTGCTTCTTTTTGCACTGATTTCAATTTTCTGCACTCTCTTTTTTGCCATTTTTGCCCTGGGTGTAACAATTATTTCATTATTAGCCACTTTGGATAATTCCCTTTTTCTATAGGTGAGTCGTACAAAGCGCCCCAGGGTCCTTACTGGGCTCTGGGGGCTACATCTCCGGTCTGTGCTCAGCCTGAGGGCGAGGCAGTGCTGTGTGCCCGCAGGCTGAACTGGTCTGAGGGCTAATGGCCTCCTGCTAGAGAGATGCACACTCCTCAGAGGACGCAGCCAGCAGAAGGCTTCTTCCAGGAACAGTTACTTCCTGTGAGAAATCCATCGGGCCCGCTGTAGGCGGGGCTGCAGCTCCCATAACTTTCCTGCTCTGCTACAGAGGTGAGCTTGTGACCCAAGCCGGGCCTGTGACCCTCTTGGGGTCCACACCTGCCCAATTACTCGCTTTAGACTGCACACGGAGCTGTTTCATCTGTTTTCTAGTGTCTTGGTTTCATTACCCATGGCATAGGAGCCTCTGAATCTTTCTCTCTCCCCCAAGACCCAGTTGTCTCCTGCAGGATCTGCATTCGAGGCCTCTACCAGCCTGACACACTTGGCCTTGGGCAGAAGGCTGGAAAGCCATCCAGCACGAGCTCCACCTGCACTCATGCTGGGAAGCCATGAGGCAGCCTGGGTGTGCTCAGCACAGCAACTGGCCAGCGAGGAGCACCCTCTGCCTGTCCTGGGCTTGTCTGGCCCCTAACATCTCATGATTGTGTCCTCAGAAGGACAACCTTTACATCTTTCTCTCCCTTGATACACCCCCACCCCCAAACCCCAGCACCTCTCATTTTCTCTTCTTTCTTTCCCAGGCCATGAAACTGGTATTACTTTCCCAATAAAAAATTTAGTCAGTCTGGCTGTTGTCCTATCCTGATGAGAAAGGACCTCTGTGGTGGACTATTATTATTCAAAAGACTCATGGTCCCTCCTCCAGCTCCTCCCCTGCCACCTCCCCCTAACACACACACACACACACCCCCCAGAAGATTAAATATCCCTTCCTTTTGAAATCAGGAGTGGCTGTGTGACTTGCTTGGGCCAGTAAGATGTAGGCAGAAATGACAGTGCCACTTCTGAGCAGAGACCTAAGGGCCAGTTGTGGTTCTCTCTGCCTCTTTCCTCCCTTTTGTGGGGACACTGGAATGGGTCCTTGGAGTGAAGACAGTGTAGAGAAGAGCAGCTGGCCCACAGTGGACATGTGACACGAGCAAGATGTGAGCCTCTGTTGTTGTCAACCATGGAGATTTCAGGATCTTAGCCTCAGCTGATTGATAGAATGTCCCAGGCCTTGATCAACAGGCCCTCTTTCTCCACAGTCCAAGGGCCTCTCTGCCCCAGGACACACCCTGAAGCTAGAACATCGGGCCCAAAGCAGTGCGGAACAGAGCTGCCTAGTCTGCTCCTGGGTCTCAGAGGGCCTGGAGCTCTCGGTCCTGAAGGCCTAAAGCTGGGGTCTTTGTATTTAAATTCCTGCCACTCTGGTGATGCCTGGTCTGGTCTGAGCCGCTCTCTTCCAGCTGCCCCACTTGCCCAGGGCCCATGGCTGGCAACAGTAACACTCCATGACTTCCTATTCCAGATGGAGGACACAGCTCACCCAAGAGTGATCAGTGGTTTCATTTTAAATGCCCACATTGCTTAGAAGTACATAAGATCATATAAAAATTGTTTTTATTAAAATAGAAAAGCTTTCCAGTATATTGCATTGAAGACATTTATAGAGAAAAGGCCGATGCAGCAAACACGCTCCAGCAGCCCCGAGATCATCCGGAACCTTGAAGTGCCCACTGTTAAACAACGTTTTGGTAAAATAAGCACATCCCTATATATTCCAGAGAGTACATATAATACTGAAAACAATACTTCATGTAAAGTCTAAGTTTAGGTGCATACAAACAAGAAGTATTACATTGAATAGCTTATTTCAAACTGTGAAACACATTCAAAGTATTCCACTTCTTAGACAACATGCAAACATTTTAATACTTAGATTGACATTTTTAAATATATAAACCATAATTCTTTATAATTCTATATCAAAAAGAAAGTCAGACAGAACACTTATCTATATTGTGCATATCACAGAAAGCAAATGTGTCTCCACGAAGAGAAAGTACTGGGTTAACATGCATGATTGTCGCTTTACAAATATGGCTGTTCACCTTCATAATAAAATAGAAAAATCATGTATTTTTTACATGAACTACTCTTTATTTCACTTTTTGGCAATTAAATAAGTAGCAGCAATTGGTTTAAAGATTGATGTTTAAAAACTCTAAATTTAACTTGGATGAATACTGAAGAATATACATCTGGTTAATATAAAAATGCATAATGCAAGACGCTTTGATGCGACGTAACTGCCTTTCACAGAAGTCACAGTAAGCACATTAGTAACCACTGAGACGGCCACCATATATCATTATCTGAGTGTCACTTAATCAGCTTGCTTTTACTTAACAAGATAGATGGGTTCCCAAATTACATTTCTGTAAATTAAATTTGCCCGATGACTTACATGATCATTTCAAAACGCTTTCCCTTTATTTCTTCCTCTAATAGCAGCAGCTCTTCACCGCGAGCCCCGCTTCCAGACAGAGGAGGTAACTGTCTGCAAAGAAACACACACCTCCTAGGGGCATCTGAATACTTAACGGAACTCTGAAATGAAGTTCCTGTGATATGAAGCCCACAGTGAAGTGAGCTATCTTTCTAAAAAGGGATCATCTCATTTATCAGTAATCCTGAATTTGGTTTAGAGTAGAGGACCCATCAAAGGAGCAAAATGTAAATGGTAAGGGGTGATCCACCTGAAGGGGACATCCTCTTTTCAAAAGTATTTGGAAGCATATATTTTAACATTTGTAAAAAACAAAACAAAAGCCCTACAAATATTGGCAGGTTGAAGAAAAAATACTGTGTGGTGAATAGAGGTGACAAGAGCTTTCACTTGGCCACTATTCAACTACAAACCAGCAGTCCTGTATGTTTTTCACAAGGTAGAAAAACTAGATCGAGGCACATTTTACCCTTCTCACGGGCAGTCAGTTGTGTCTCCAGAGCAAGTGCAAGGCGAGGCCCAGGCTGAGGAAGAGGCAGGAGTGGCAGGGGGGTGTGGTCCCGATGCCGGCCGACGGCACGCTGCTAGAGACCTGTACCTGGGAAATGATGAGGGCAGACAGGGGGATGTGGGATGCCAGGGTAGGGCTGTCAGAGTTGATGAGGGATTCGATCTTCTCCGCTTCTTTATTGCAGGCCTCAATCTGGAAGAGGAAAATCAGATTCTTTTAATATAAAACCACAGAACCCATAAAAAGGTCAAGTCAGACAAATCCCACATATATCCTAACACATACATAACATAGGGAATACGCTTTCTCTCTGTCCTATCCTTGGCTGGAGTCACATTTTATTAGAGTCTTAATTTATTACACAAATCATAACAGCATCAATGAAAATGAAATCAGAGAAGAAATGAGCCACAATGCCACTGCCCTTTCCTTTTTCCACCATCGTGCTCACCACTTATCCCCATTTAGACATTATCTTTCCATGGTTAAACAGTCACGAGGAATGGACTGTCAATGCCTAGTTAAACATGAGGGTGAAAGCAATGAGACTTAAGGAGCTTTCTTATTGTGCAGTTTACCAGGGGCTTATATTCACCCCCTTCATTTGAGCCCTCACTATTCTGATGCCGAAACTTGGGCCTACATGCATGAGGCTCCACATACATCTCGATTGTGAGGAAGAAAGATTGGGGCCCACAAGACCAGCTCTAGTGGGCTGCCCTCCCCAGTGGGAGCAAAGTCCTCCAGAGACTGGAGTCTATTCTGGCTCTGTCACTGCATGACCCGTGCCAGTCCCTCCCCCCCGGGCCTCAGCCAACTCGTCTGTACGATGAGCAGCTCCTTCCGTCTCTGCACCCTCTGAGTCACAGCATCTCAACCTCTCCTCTCTCCCACTCCTTTGAATCCTGCTGTCAAAAGGGTACCCAGCTTCAGCCCCCCGGAAAACGCTCCCCAGTGTAGCTCTGTCCTTCAGAGACTGCCTTGCGTCTCTCCCTCCTGCCCAGCCGAATGCCTCCATGTCCTCACCACCTGGTCCTCCCCTGGCTCTGGTTTGTGCCCACCCCTCCCAAGTCCCCCAAACTTGACAGTGACAAGATGGTGGCACAGCACCTGCTGAACCCCACCTGCAAAGCTTTTGGAGAATGATCAACAGGAACAATCAGGATCACAATTTCTGACTCAATGCTGAAGTATCCAAATACGTCGCACTGTGGGACAGACACGTGCATGCGGATTTTCTGAAGTATTTCCAGAACTGTTATCGGCTTTTTGTTTGTTACCTATAAAGAGAAAAAGTTTCTATTATCTGAAAAAAAGAATTCCTTATTATTGCCAAAGCTGCCTCGCCACCTTGCCTAAGGCAAGGAGGCTCTTTCAACCAAGGAACCGCTAAGCGCAGGCCCCAGAAGGCCCTGCCAGCTGCATTCGAAATCTCCAGTCTGTTCCAATGGGGTCTGGCCTGACTGTGAAGCTTTGCAGCCTGGATAAGTGTTCTCAACAGAAATGCTTCTTCTTCTTCTTTTTTTTTTCTTTAAATAAAGTATTTTGAGTTGGAGGCTGCAGGGAAATAATTAAAGTCTTTGTATAAAAATACAGGTGTTTTAATCCAAATGGGGACAATTTTCTAGGTAGCGGCAGGTGTTGTCTGGAGCCCTGCCTCCACAACAGTGAGCAGCCAAAGGAGTGGCAGAGAAGCAAAGTGGGCAGAGCCACAGTGGGTAGGGGCTGGCGCTGGACGCACCGGGAAGAGTGGGGCCTGAGAGGGCAGGCCACCTGGAAACCAGTGGGGCGCCTACCAGTCTCTGGTTGCCTGGTTCTGCCTCCAGCCCCAACTCTGCTTACCAGGCCAGGAGGCGATCTTTCCTAAGAAAGACTCAGGCTGTGACATGCGAGCAGGGTCACCATACAGCCAGGCTGCAAAGGAAAGGAGTGCAGGACCCGGAGCAGACAGCCCGGGTTCAGAACCTGAGTTGCTTCTCTGCAGATGGGTTTCTTCATCTATAAAGGGGATAACATCTTCTACTCTGTAGGATTACTGAGAGGTTTATCAATCCGCTTCGAACAGTACCTGGCATATAAAGCAATTTACCTTAGCAATAGTATCCAGCTTTTCTTTGTCAAATAAAACTCTTAACATCCCAGCACATAACGGGCAACAAGCACCTGTATAACAGAAAGCATTTCACGTGTGTTCAGAATTGGAAGTGTGGAGAACCCAGAACAGTTGGTGAAACCCCCCGGCCCTTCCTTCCGTGCTCGGAGAGCTGCAGCTGCTCTCCTGATGGAGCACTTTTAGATGTGTTCCCTGACTACCTGGGAGGGCCTCAGAATTTGCACATCCACCAGAACGCTTCCTCCAGCCCTGCTTTCATCCTTCAACACTTCTCAGGGTGAGGCAGCTGTGGTGGAAGGCAGCACAGAGAGGGCTGGCCTTTCGAGAGACATGGGGCTGAGACCCTGGCCCGCCTCAGAAGTCACTGTGTGATCCTGGGCAGGTGCTTTCCCGGCCCTTAGATTTCCTGTTTGCGAAAGCAGGGACTCCCGGAGTGTTTGATTCTAATTTAATATTTAAAATTATTTTAAACTGTTAAAAAACGATAACAAAGTATCAGAACAGCTTTGTTTTGCTCACTGCTGCGTCCACAGTGCCTAGAAGAATGTCCGGCACATGCTGGAAGCTCAGTAAACATCTGATGAATTCATGGATGGAGGAATGAGCTTGTTAGATTCCAGATTAATGTGTTCTGTGCAGACTTGGGATAGAGTCTCTTCTGCCACCTCTGTTTAACTGAAGAGTATGAGCCTGTAAGGTAAGCTGTTTAAGAAAATTGTTACCGCTTATAACAGTCTATGAAATAAGACTTTCTTGATTATACGCAACTAAAACAATTAGGTGCTAACGCCAATCTAAGACAACTCTCTTCTGTTTCTCTCAATTTCAAAAGTTGGTGTGCATCAAAACTACTTCAATTATTCATTCATTCATTATGATTTCTTTATTAACTTTATAATAAGTAAATATTATGCATTTGAACTAATAACCATAATTTTAGTAATTAAATACTGCTTTATCTGTTTATATATTATTGTTTGGTGTAAGATTTTCCTCGAAAAAAGTTTACTATATTGTTTTAAAACCACCAGACCAGATGATGTCTAAGGTAACCTGGTTGACCCGGAATAACACATCTAATCAGCATCAGGCACAGTCACGACTTTTTGAAAAATGTAAATAAACTAGTCAGCTCTCTTCCCCTCAGTGACTCACTCTCTTCCCACTCCCACCCCGGCCCCTCCCCAAGCACTGCCAGCCTACCAGGTGGGATGACAGGTTTGCACTCAGTCACCGAGAGCGAAGGACACTTCACAGCAGCGCATTCAGTGACAGAATTGTACTCTGAGAGGACCCCGATGGCCTGGCAGGGCCCGTGGTAATCCACCGCCACACGATCCGAGTAGGCAGCACACACGCTGCTGTAGGTCTCCCCATTGTGCCCGCAGACGGGCTCTGTGGCTCTGCAGAACGGCTGGGGGCAAATCAATCACATTCAGCCTGGAAACCTCAGTGATGCACTTTTCCTACCCAAGAACACACAGTAGAGGGCTCCCTACTTCCAGGAAGGAAAAAAGATGCAGGCGGATCCTCTTAATGAATCTCCCGAGGTGGGCTAAACACAGTGGGGGGGCGGGGAACAGGACTCTCCCAAGATGAACTGAGGAGATCACTCTCTCAGCCTCTTTGGGACTTGGGTGCTCATTCCATGTGAACTGATTTGAGATACAATCCCCTCCCTCCAGACTTCTATGCTTCCAGAAATGCCTGTTTGAAGAAAACGAGATCCACCGTCCTACAAATATGGAGGCTTTATCATTTCACACTGGGTGAGGGATAAGGGCAGAGTCAGTGGGCAGACAGACTCTGGATCCATGGGGCAGGTTAAGAATACGTAAGAGAAAAACTGTAGCCAGGAAGAGGGGACAAGTAGGAAGAGGAGACCGGGAATTCAGAGCAGCAGTCCTGATGCAACTGGAACACAAGTGCTGAGAGGAAACAAGCCCAGGGAGACAAGCAGAAGGGATTTTCTGACAATGAAGACCAGGAAACGAGAGCCAATCATGTCAGGTGCCAGCTGTTCGCAGGCAGGGGACGCTGGGCCCGAGGACGGGAACCAGAAAGGGGCGCAGTTGGCACACAGACCGGTGGTGCACGTGGGAAGCCTCAGTGGCACTGTCCTTGGGGTTATTTTTAACATGAATATGGATTTCACAACCTTAAAAGACTGAAAGATAAACTGATGTAAAAAGACATTAAGTCTTAGAGAAATTTTTGACCACTTTTCAGTACTGAGGGAGGGACTTCGGTGGGAATTGTGGGGGGAAAACTCTTTTCTTGGCTGTTTTAACTTGAATTCTTCGTGATTTCTTTTCCAATGACGGCCCACAAAACTACGGGAAGAGAAAATGGTGCTGACTGGCACCAGAGGTGTAAAACTTCAAATTCTTTACTAAGAGTGGGTGGCAAGAAGGCACTCTCCTTTCCTGCTCGTACACTAGATGTGCGGAGGTACACACACGAGCCAGGGAGGCCTCCAGAGTGAGGAGGAGAAGCCAGTCTTGGGCTGGCTCACTGTGAGTGGAGGACTGAGCTCTCTCGACGGAACAGGATTAACAGAAGACCCTCAAGTGGTCTTACTGCTGAGTCATCTGCAAAAGACCATCAACTGGTTTCCTGCGTACTTGGGTTTGTCAGCCAAACGACGGTACCTGGCAGGGGCCTTTGTATAAGAGGCTTTTCCCTCTCTGGTACAAAGTGCAGAGATTGCTGTGCTCCAGATGGTTTGTGTCACAAACAGGATCGCGGACCTGGTCACAGGTGAGCTGTCTTGGCAAACATTCATGTTGGCTACATCCAAATTTATCAAACGTCGTCAGACAGACTTGTGGTTTGGGTATGCATCTGAAAAACACGAATGGTGCCCCATGAACCAATGTTGGGAGGGCTGGCAGAGCTCCGATAAGGCACAGGAGGCTGAGGAGAAAGCACTGGAAGCAGTCCCCATCCTCCAGAGCTGATGGAGAACGGAGAGTCAAGCACGCATAGAAAGTAGGCTATCAGGTAGAAAATGTCATAAACGCCTGTGGGAGTGAGCCCTTCTGACTGGGGAATCTGGAGAAAGCCCTGGGAGCAGGTGGTGTCCTGGCTGGACCCAGTGGGGTGAGGAGGGCCACACAAGCTTGCCAGGCTGAGGGTGCAGCCTGAGCAAAGGAATGATGCTCAATACCCTGTGGTGCTGAGGGAAAGGGCAGGGGACCCGAGGGCAGGAGCAAAGAATGCACAGGGTCAAAGTGGCATGCAGTGAGGCCATCAGGTGGGTTGGGGTCTGATGCTGGAGGCCCTGTAATCAGAGATAAATGGAGCATCTTCAGGGGCTTAATTGTCAGTTGGCCAAAATGAGTCTTTTTTTTCTTCCTCATGGTGGAAAATACTATTTAAAAATGGAGAGAAAAATAAGAATACAGACCCCTGTTTGCTTGTATAAAGAAAGGAAAATGCAAGAAACAAACCTCACAGCGGCTATTGAGGAGGTGGGGTGGGAACGGGGGGAGGAAGGCCTTTTTATGTTTTTGGATATTTGAACTACATGAACGTATTATCTGTTTGGAAAAAAGTCTGAATATTCAGAATAAAGGCTGAGGGATTCTGGTGGTCTGTGTCCCCAGGATGCTCCCATCAAGGCTGTTGAGTGAGCAATAAAACAGCTGGCATCTGTGGAGCACTGACCACAGGCCAGGCACTGTTCTGGGTGCTGGATGCATAGAGTCATAACTTGCCCTGGTGTCCCTGAGACTTCCGGGTTTGAAAGCTGAGTCCCATGTCCCAGGAGCCCTCCTCAGTCGGGTTTCCAAGAGTCAGCTCCTTTGGAGCCCACAACTACTGTCCCAGGGCAGGTGCTATCAAGCCCCTTTTAGAGATGAGGAAACTGAGAGCCAGAGACGTGCATCTGAACTCAGGAAGGCCAGCGCAGGGGCCCAGGCTGCCGCCGTGCCCGTCCAGACTCTCCAGTCTTCCAGTAGCCCCAGAACGATCTCCTGGGAAGGCCAAGACCCTCTCCCACCCCCATCTGCTGACGCAGGAGTCCCCATGCCACCCCAGCCCCTGTCCTGGCCTCCAGGCTGTGAAGCTGCAGGAGGGGGACTTGGGCCAGAGGGGAGCTACAGACCCAGGAGCGGGGTGCCACCCAGCCCCAATCCCAATGGGCAGGTCTCAGCATACTCCAGCCTGGCTGCCAGCGCCAAGCCTGGCACCCACAGCCTTCTGTAAATGCCTGCAGTTATTCAGTCCCTCTCCTCTGAGCCTTGGTAGTTGGCCAGAGGTTTGGGCTCTCCCTAACTATGCATGGGGCTTCCTGGGGTCTGGAACAAGTCCTGAGGGTGGCCAGGGATAGAGTCTAAGCTCCATGCCCCCAGGGATTCTCAGACCACCAAGGGGAAATTGAGATTCAGAGAGGTTAAATAACTTGCCTAAAGTCACATAGCCAGTGAGAGCCTGGGGTTCAAGCCTAGGTCTACACGACCCATGAGATGACCCCACAGTGAGAAACTCTTGATTCCCCAGCTCTGGAGGGGGAAGTTTTGTGGGAGGGGATGCTATGGGCACGCCTGCCTGGGGTCAAGGCCCTGCCAGTAAACAATGATGTGAAGGTACATTACCTTCCCCTCGAAGATAAAAATCCCTGGAGGGGACTGCCCTGGGGGAAGCATAGGCCAGACCAATCGGCTTGCGGGCTGGTTCAAACTAGTGCTTTCTGCCTTTGGCTTGGAGACCTTGAGGACGGCCTGTGGTCATGCTGGCATTCCAGGGGCCTGTTTGGCAAGTGGGGAATGTCCCAGCAAAAATCTAGGTCTTTGGAGAGGGTGAGAAAAGGGAAGTGTTCCTGACAGGGGTAGGGGTGGGCGTCCCAAGGGAACGTCCCCTTTGAGGGAGGAGGATGGAGAGCTGGGGTCTTGAAGGAGGAGGACTGCAACCATCATCACCTTTCCTGTGGACCCTACTCAGCGTCCTATGAAGTCAGGGCCTGGGGGTACAGAATGGAAGGCACGCTGGCCCTGGAACCAGACGCCTGGGCTCTGTCCTTCCGGGCTGTGCTGTCCAGAACTGTCTCACTTCTCTGACCGCCTAGGAAAAGGGCACACTGCCCACTCCACTGCCTGTAGACCAGAACCCTGTGGCTTCTGGACCCTCAGAATGGGAATGCTGGTCACCTGTCTCAGCCACTACCATGGAGACCAACATGGGCCAGGGAGGCTTGGTGCTTGGGTCCCAGGGAGGGGCCTGGGTGGCCTTCAGAGCAGTGTCCTGGGAGGGCGGGAAGCCTCAGGGAACCACAGCCCCTGCTCTGGAGGGCCAGGCTGCAAGGCCTAGGTTGGGTGATTTGGGGTCTGCAGACCCCTCTTCAGCTCCTGGCCTGCCACCAACGCTTCGGCCAACAGGCCCTTGCAGGCGATTCTTCAAGGCGCTGCTCAAAGGCCACCTCCTCCGAGCTGCCTCCCGACTGCCTCCACCGAGTGTGCTCTGTGGTCTTCTGGGTCTCTGTCACAACCTCACACCTAGCTTGTCCTTCCTCCCCGCTAGGCCTGGGTGGGGGTGTCCGAGGGGCCGGGGCTCTAGGTGAATCCTCAGGCTGCGGCGCGTGGAAGTGGGGGCACGGCATTGGGGGCCGGGGGCTGGGGCGCGGGCGGTGGCCCGAGGTGGGCGCGCTGTAGAGGCCAGCCCGGCAGAAGCGGGGGCAGCGCGAGCCGAGCCGCGCCCCACGCTCCCTGCGCGGCGGCGAGCCCGGAGCGGGGCCGCTGCGGGAAGACTTTGCGGAGTGCAGGAGCAGGGCCACCTGGCCCTCCTGCCAGCCGCCACCAGCACGGCCGAGGCGACGCGGAAGCAGTTCGGCCTCATCAGCTGCAGCAACGAGTGCCTGACGGCCGAGGCGTTCGGGTTCACAGTGAACGCATCGGCCAGCATCCTGAGCAGCAGCAGATCTGTGTGCGGGAGCAGCTGCCCGACGAGGCCTGCACAGCCACCTGGGCCGCCAGGTAGCGGCCGACAAGGACGGCAAGGTGACTTGCGAGTGCGAGTTGCCCGGCGCAGCGCACGACGACGGCCGTTGGTCGCTGCAGGCCGAGGCGCCCCGGCGCTACCGAGGATCGCCTGTCTTGCAGCCCGTGTCGCCGGCAGAGGAGGGCAGCGCACACCTCGCCACGCACCCGCCGGTCAACGTCCACAGCCTGACTGCAGGCGCTCCGCGCACCTGAGCGCGGCCGGCCGAGCTCCGTGGACCGCGACGTGCCCTGGGGGGTCGACTCGCTCGTCCCGCTGGCCTTCCAGAACCGGCGCTGCAGCCTGCAGACGGCCCGCCACCGCTTCCTGCGCCACGACGGGCGCCTGGTGGCGCGCCCCGAGCCCGCCACCGGCTACAGGCTTGAATTCCGCTGTGGCAAAGTGGCCTCCCGCCACCGCGAAGGCCACTCCCTGGCGCTCAAGGCCACCGGGGGGGGGGGGGGGCAAGGACAAGCTCTTCGCCCGGGAGCAGAGCTGCGCCCAGGTCGTGCTGCAGGCGACCAACGAGAAGAACGTGCCCACGCGCCAGGGTGAGTGGGGACGCCGCCCCTCGCCTCTCGGGTCGCTGTACAAAGCGCACCCCACCCCCAGGATTCACCCAGAGCCCCGGCCCCTCGGACACCCCCACCCAGGCCTTTCTCGCCCGCGGCGCCCCCCGCCGGGCGTGCTGGCCTTTCCGCCCCGCCGCGGGACGCACGCTGGGCCGGAGGAGGGGCGGGGGTGGGGCTCCGCCGGTCCTTGGGTGCCGCTGCACTGCCCCACCCGCCTTGGGGTTGGGGCTCCCTAGGCCCCGCGTAGGCATCGCCCCATGTGTAGGCACCCCCAGCCCAAAGTAGGCTCTCCCCACACGCGCTGATCCCTTGGATCCTGGGGCCCAGCCCTTGGGCAGAGTCTGTCTTAAGAGAAGACTTCACAGTATGTGCTAAAAACTTAGGTGTCTGTGCTCCCAAGGCTGAGGACCTGACGCTGGCTGGTTGCGAATCGCCGAGAGAACGCCACTCCACGAAGCTGGGTTTCCTGTAATATCTGAACCTTGCTTCATTCTTAATTCTGAACTTCTTGAGAGGAGTAAGGGATGAGGCCCTTCTTCTTTAGACCCTTAGACATCCCTCATTTCCATAAATGTTATTTATAACTTCCCATAAGAAGATAAGACCTATTCAAATGTTCAGCTTTCACTAGGTATTTGAAATAATGGGATACACAAATCTTAGTCTATAAAGGAGAAAAATATAGTAGCAAGCATTAGTTTAATTTCAAAGGAAATTACCTCTACTCTTTTTAGGGGTAAGCCTCCTGCCCTGAAATGCCCCCCACCGTCACCACCACCATCTGTGCTCGCCTTTTCTGATGGGATTTAAAATTAGAACGCACCTCGTTATGGTTTTATGGAAAATTAAAACATTTGAAGAGAAAGAATGGAAAAGAATATTTAGAACGTCATTACCTATTAACACGAAAGGGATGAGAACCAAGAACATCAGGAGAAATTTGGTAATTTTGGAAGGAAAAACTTTATCAATATGAGTATGTAAAAATAAGAGGATCAGCAGGGAAGGCTGAGAATCGGGGGGTCAATTAAACATGCTTACTGTTGTGTCCTAGTGTTGAGAAAGATGTCTGACACATCAGTAGACACTTGATGAATGAATACAACTTTTTATTTTTTAAACAAATTTTTTTTTAACATAATACAAGCTCATGGTGAAACTGAAAAGATACAAAATCATATATGGTGGAAAATGTCTCCCTCCTACTCTTATGTCCCAGCTACCTAGTTCCCGTCCCTAGAGGCAACCACTATTACCAATTTATTGTTTATTCTCCTGGAGATATGTAAATATAAGCATTTTCATATGCTGATTCAAAGAATATGTTATTTAAAAATTTTGGTGGGCGTAGCCAAGTTGCCCTCCATGGAGGATGTCCCAATCCTCCCCTCACCCCTCCTTTCCTATGGGAATGCCTGTTTCCCTATATTATATTATCAAACTTTTTGTCTTTGCCAATCTGGTAGATGGGAAGTGGTACACAATTGTAGTTTTAATTTAATTTACATTTCTGTTAATATGAGGCAGGTTAAGCATTGTGGTACATTGGTCAGATGTTCATCAAATTCATTTAATTTTCTTCTTGGGCACACACTTGGATTACATTTCCTAGTCTCCCTGGCAGTAGTAGTGGTCAAGTGACTGAGTTCTAGACAATGGAGTGTGGCTGGAAGTAGAGATGAAGGCCAGTTTTAAACCTGGCCTACAAAAGCTTCTCAAGAGCAACCTGCCTCATCTCCCTTCTCTTATCTCCTGGCCAGATGCAGAAGATACAGAGGAGGACTGTGAGGCTGTAGGAGCTAGCAGAGTGACCAGATGGAAGGCTCTTAAGTCTCTGAATCACCAGGTGGAAAGCCACCTGCTGAACACACAAATGGACTGTATTTGAACTTGTATTATGTTAAAATGCTGATATTTGGGAGTTTGTGTACAGTAGTTAGAGTTATCCTAATTAAAGCATCTTTTCAAGTGTTTAAGAACCATTTGTATTTCTTTTTTCTATGTTTATGTCCTCGATCCATTTTTCTATTAGGTTGTTGACCTTTTTCATATGGATTTGTAGGGGCTCTTTATATTGGATGGACATCAGCCTTTTCTCTGTGAGCTTCTTCCCAGTTTGTCATTTGTTTGTTACAATGCAGAAAATTTTCATTTCCATGTAGCTGCATTTTTCAATCTTTTCTTTTATATTGGTTTTGTATTATATTTCCCACTTAGAGATTTTATTATTTTATTATAAAAGCAAGACACCCTTATCCAGAAAGGTTAGCAAATAGAAGAAAATAAATAAAGGCACAAACAAATACCAAAACAACCCTCAATTCTATCCCCCAACACAATTATATTATCCTTTTGGCTTATCTTTTTTCCTAATGGACAGCACCTATGTTCTTTCCACAGGAACTTTTTGGGCTTAGTTTTCATGGTATAAACTTTGCCAGTTGGTGATCAACTCTCTGCCATTTCTTTTAACACAGGAGAAATCCCCCACCCCCCTGGCCCCGACTACACCAGAGTTTTCAGGATGGAGAAGCAATAGCTTATTCTCCACAAAATCCTTCATAAGGAAAGGACTCTGGCACTGGAATGTGTCCTGCTCAGGTCTTTGAGGCAGCCAGTGAAAACTCCAGTTCTAGAAGCCTGAAATTTAAGAGAGTCAGTAGGACCCTTGCTGCGGCCACCACATACAGAAATCTGTCATTAAGCCTAGGTCAACTGCACTCTGAGCTCATGAGGAAACTGCAGAGAAATGGCCCCTAAACCAATAACATTATATACATTTATGTTGCATTTCCACAGATGTCTCATGTCCAATCCCTAAGATGGAGATAGATAAGTAGAAGGAAGTTTCCCATTACTATCAAGCATAAATAGCTAACAAGGTAAGCAAACATCCATTTCTCTTGTCTCCTCTGCTCCTTCTCCTTGCCTCCTGCTGTTTCAGTCCTACAGAACTGCTATAAGCTTCCAGCCTCCAGCACGCTATCTTCTCATTTCCAGCAGCTGAGATCTCTGCTCCTGTTGCTCTCTGCCTTCACCAACACCACCATTCCTCCACTGTACACTCTGCCTGCAATCTCCTCGTCTTTGCAGCCGAGTATCACATCTTCTAGAGGCTTTCCAAGGCCTCCCCTAGGCTGCATCAACTGGTCTACTTCTGGGCCCTCAATCACAGCATGTTACCAAGCAGCTGTACATAGCTCCTTCCCTCTAGACTCCACACTCTTCAGGGCAGAGACCTTCTTGATTCATCTTTGTATTTTCACTGTCTGGTACACACTAGATGCTTAGTAGGTGCTGGTCTTCAGTTGAAAAAGATAAGGAGCCATTTGACTTACCTTTGATTTTTGGGGCAGGGGTTAGGATTACATGGATCCTTTGAGATGCACGATCCAAACTCAAATTGATGGTCTTGGAGGCCCACACAGCGAGCAATGCAGGCACTGGGGTAAGTGCGTCCGTTCTGCCCACACACGGGGACAAACTGATCTGCACAGTTACAGGGCAGACCTGAGGAGAGGAAACAGCCTCAACAATGTGTACTTGTACATGCCCCTTCCTCTCAAGTTTGTCCTTTTAGATCGGCACCTGAGCTAACATCTCTTGCCAATCTTCTTTTTTTTCTTTTTCCCCAAAGCCCCCCGCCAGTACATAGTTGTATATTCTAGTTGTAGGTCCTTCTAGTTGTGCCTTGTGGGATGCCGCCTCAGCATGGCCTGACAAGCAGTGCCACGTCTGTGCGTAGGATCCGAACCGGCAAAACCCTGGGCCATGAAGCAGAGTGCGAACTTAACCACTTGGGCAAGAGGCCGGCCCCTCACATTTTCTAATTAAGGCAAAGTACTAACAATCATGTGGGGGGTCTCATGTTAAAATTGTAAATTAAGTGAGAAAAAACATCCCTCCAATCTCTGACAGTGTTTTTAAGGGTGGCAAGGCTCTGAAAAGCCATTTGTCTGCATAATGGTGACAAGAAATTTTCACATATTGACGTATGTGGGGTAGCTATTCTGGTTTAAACCAGATTCAGCCTGAACTAAAGGAGTCTGACTTACAGCTATCAAATGCAGGCTGTACATCTGCTTTAACTATTAAGATACGGATGCATCAAACATTATCTCAAAGTAAAAGACTGTGCTCTGTGAAGCTAAGAATGTATACTTCCCATCCTATGAGGCCAGTATCAGTATTTCTGAAGATAAAGTTTCCTCTTGGACATTAAGGTCATGTTGACCTGCTAATCTGTAACTAGATATCGCTTTGAAACTTTGATGAATATGTATCCTGGGTGTGTTTGGTGTATGTTCTTTGTTCTAAAAAGGTATAAAAACGTCCTGAAGCCCATGCTTATCTGGAATGCTTTCTTCCTTTGTCGAGACTACCTTCCCAGGCTATAGTCCTTCAGTCTGGTTCAAATAAAATTCTCCTCTCTCTCTCTCCGTAGAATAGTTATTGGTTATTTGCTTCAACATTTCTTGGCATAACCGGCAGAATTTGAGAGAAACCCACCTGAGACCATGTGGAATCTACTTTAAACTGGCGCTTGGTACCAGCATGGGCTCACTGAGTCCCTCCGGCTTCACTGCACTCTTTGGGTACCTCAGTGAGTTCTCCTGAAATCCAGACCTCCTTATTGAAGTTGTAGGTCCTGACTTTTACCTGAGCTGTTTCAAGTCTTAAGACTATGTGTCTAAAGAGGGTACTGGTATCTATCCTAGGTAAGAGGAACCTAGGGGGAATTTCCTAGGTGGAACTTGGGAGTGAACGGGGCTGGCTGACCCTTTAATTTGGCTTTAAATTGGAAAACATTGTATCTAGAAAAGCTGAGCAAATTGTTTGATTGCAAAATGAGAGACTGAACTCATTCAGCTCTGAAGAGAAGGGACACCAGCTCCCTCCAGCTATAAGGCATTCTCAGGCAACTGAGAACCTAGTGGAAGTGTCAGAGGTTGATCCTTGTGTTGTGTAGCAGTCCCATAGGGAAATCCATCATGATTGTTCACTTTAAGTAAGTAACTGACGGCTCATCCAGGGATGCACACATAAGGATTGGTCACCCAGTGCTCCCAGGCCCCATGGTAATTTTAGAATGCCAGTGGGAGAAACCAAGACATGTAAGAGAGTGTTCACGGCCTTGTAGGAAGTGACACTCACAAGCAGCACACTTCTGACCCATTACACTGTCCTTAGAAATTGTTCAGATTTCATACTAAAACAAAACTAAAAGACAATGGGAAGTCATGTTTCTAAAGCCAACCAGCTCCTGAATGGGCCGCCTTCCCCTGGAACTCCAGCTGACTGCATGTATAGTACATATGGAGCTGTTACTTGCAAGTGCTAAACAAAATGGGAAAATTTTACAAAAGATGACCTCAGTCTTAAATGGCCAAAATGAGGAATGTTCAATTTACTGAAATTAGTTTATTTGCATGCACACCTGGAAAAAGCTGGCTATAAAATCAAGCAAGCACAATGGAAAGCATAGTTTAAGTAGTATTTAGAAGCTTCAAAGTGTGGTAATGATAAAATGACATCTTTACAGGAAACTAATAAAACATTATTATAAACAGCTGCTAAATTAAAGAAGTTTTCTTTTCTGCTGAGGAAGATTCGCCATGAGCTAATGTCTGTTGCCTGTCTTCCTCATTTTTTCTTTTTCATGTGAGCTGCTGCCACAGCATGGCCACTAAGAGATGAGTGGTGTAGGTCTGCCCCTGGGAACTGAACCTGAGCTGCTGAAGTGGAGTGCACCAAACTTAACCAGTAGGCCACTGGGGCTGGCCCAAAAAGTTTTTATTCTATCTGCCAGAAACACAGTTTGGATCCAACTATTCTTTTATAAATTACTGAATTTTGTATTGTACCTGATTCATTGCAAAAATTTAATGAAAACTATTTGAGGTCTCTGCATCTGTCTATGTATCTATGTATGTCTATATATGTATGATCTTTTTTTACCTTCAGATGGGATAATTTCTAAAAGAGCTCTATTTAATTGGCTTAAAGTAAGTGCTTATATAAATTATTTCTAAATGTAACAGAAACTATACCAAATGTTCTTGAAGTTAACATGATATAAAACAATCTTTGGTAAATGAAGTTTAGTTAAGTTTCTTAGTTTAATTGAAATAAGCACGTCTTCAAAGTTATCAGCATTGGAGATGATGCATACATGCAGCCTTCATTCAACCTGGGTTTATTAGTCAAATAAGTTCATGTTATCTCAGTTACAAAATTTGCCAGCAAAAATAATAGCTTAGAATGATAGCTGATTTTATCTAATGTCTCATGAAGTTTTTGTAGGCAATCTAAGCATAATTATTGGAAACAAATAAACTAAATTGATGTAAGTAAGATAAAAGTTTTGGGTGAACTTCTTTTTTTTAAGATTTTATTTTTCCTTTTTCTCCGTAAAGCCCCCTGGTACACAGTTGTATATTTTTAGTTGTGGGTCCTTCTAGTTGTGGCACGTGGGATGCCGCCTCAGCATGGCCTGACGAGCAGTGCTATGTCTGCACCCAGGATTCGAACCGGCAAAACCCTGGGCCACCAAAGCAGAGCACACGAACTTAACCAGTTGGACACAGGGCCAGCTCCTGGGTGAACTTTCTTAACGGTAACTGTGTCATGGTACATATACTTAAAAATAACTTCAAAACCTTTTGATAACTTGAAACCTTAGAGTTTTGATTAAGTTAAATGATAGAAATTTATTATCTAAATCATTTTCACATGAGATAAAATATTAGCCATTAGTTACTATAGATTTTTCTACCTTTGGCTTATTACAGAGAAACTATAAAAATACGTGAGTTTATTAATAAACATGTTTTGTGCCATGCTGAGAAGTTTTCTATGAGAATGCACGTTTCTAACACAGTATTTATAAGTCTGCCAATCCACAGGATGCTAATGTAAAAGAACAAGGGAAATATCCGTATACAAGGAGAGTAGATGTGTGTTTTCAGTAAAGAAGGTATAAGGAATGGAGATATTTTTGTTTGTTTTGCTAAAAAAGGTAAATGTGTCCTAAAGTACTAGGAAGGAGGGAAGGCATGGGACAAATTCTGAATTGAAAAAAGAAAGTTATAGAAGGTTTATGGAAGAGGAACCCAGAGGAAAGAGTTTTGTGCATGGGCAAATTGGCTAAGAGTGAAGTGAATTTAATGAGTTTCAATATCAAAAGTAAGCTGGTACAAAAATTAGAATTTGGTTTTCTCTCTCTTAAAAGGGTAATTTTCTTGGACTCTTAGTCTGCTCTTGATAAAGAGATTACAAAAGGTTTTTCTTCACCTTTGAGTAAGTCTGCCTAAAAGGCAAGAGTTCTATGTTTTGTCAAAACAATTTCCTATTCAAAAAGCTGAGGTGTCTCTATTAAGAGCACTAAGACTTTTTAAAAAACTTTTTAACTCTTTATGATTGCCTTTAAAATCTTCGGTTGTCACTTTGGTTAAATGGATAACTAAGCATTGTTTCATAGTGACCGACAATCCTATTTGACCAAGTGTTTTAAAACCTTTTGAGATTTTTGACAAACTTCCTCAAAATTCAAATCCTAAAAAAACCCAAAAAACAAAAAAACTTTCTTTTGACCTGAAAGTAACTTTGAGAATTTTCAGTGGGCCCCTGAGACATCTCATAGAATTTGTTCTCTTTCTTCCTATAAAGAGGGAGCTATTAAACTAATGAGGTTTGTTTGGTATGTTAAATTGCAATGAGAAGCATTACTAAGCAAATGATGATAAATCTTGGGTTATGTTGTGTGGATAAATGTTATTAATATAAGTGTTCTAAAAATTATATAAAATTCCTAAAGATCTGATATGTCCTGGTATAATTCTACTCATTATCTTAAAATGTGTGTTATAGAAATAACTAAATTTCCTTGTCAATTGCATTGTAATCATATCTTCAACTATGCCAGTTTTGACTTTTGTCATTTACAGGCAACATTGTTTTACCCTGATGCTTTTGCAAATATGTTTCATCTTCAGGGAGGTTCACGCAAAGGACTCTGACACCTACTCCAGAATACAGGTTTTTGATGAACTTTCAGATCATAAAACTGAACTGGATTTAAATAAATCTTTTCTCCTAAGCTATCAACAATTTGGTAAGATATACCTTTGTAAACAAAGATGAAACATTTACTTTTTCTCCCTAACTTATCCCTCCAGAACTCAGAAACTCTCAGTGAGTATTCTTGTTTTCACTTATATAAATAATCAGCCCAAGTTTTAATATAAAAAAAATTAGTTTTACTCTGATTATCTTTGGTAGAAATGAGGATAACTGTGGAGAGAAAATTATATTGCACCTTTGTGGATGTCAGATTCATCCTGTTAATTGTCTTTCAGGTTTTGTTACATACCTATAGACTGGACACCCTCCCCGCTTGGGTAAGGTATTGCTTTTTGTCTTGCCGATGTGGAAAACAGTATTTTTGGAGACTTTCTCCCACAGTGGCTCATAAAGCATCGTTAAACCTTATGTATGTCCTAAATACGATCCTGGGAAAACACCTCATGGGTCACAAGGTCACTTTCCCCTTCTTAAAGGACCTTTTGTGGTATGGCAATTGGACTTTGTTCAAATGTTACCATCTCAAGGATATAAATTTATCTTAGTAATGATTTGTATGTTTTCACATTGGGTTGAGGCCTTTCCTTGCAGAAGAGCAATGGCTTTAACAGTAGTTAAATTGTTATTGGAAAGATCGTTCCTGTTTGGGGAATTTCTATCGAGTTACACAGTGACTGGGGAACTCATTTCACTGGACAAGTAATGAAATCTATCTGTAACATTTGGCTAATGATGTAGCACTTTCACCATGCTTATCATCCCCAGTCCTCGGGATTAGTGGAGAGAACTAATGGCACTATCAAAACTCAATTGGCAAAACTTTCAGAAGCATTTAATCTCTGGTGAAAAGCTCCTCTGTTAGTACTTCTCAATCTTAGATCTATATCTTTTGGTAAACATTGGCTGTCTCCTTTTGAAATAATAACAGGATGGCCTATGTAATTAGATGAGGGAATATATGAACCAACTTTGCTCAAGGGACATATATTACATCATTGTCAGGGTCTCATTGAGGTGCTTAAAAGAAATGAAAGGTTGGAAGTTGATTCTTTTCACAGAGAGCTCCCACTAGACAAAGACTTTAAGGATCACAGACTACAACCTGGAGATTTTGTTTACTGGTAGAGGCATCAAGTAAAAGACTCTTTGCAGCTCTGTTGGAAAGGACCATATTAGGTACTTTTAACCAGTCCATGTGCTGCAAAATTAAAGGTCATAAACTCATGGATTCACATTTCTAATTTTAAAAAGGTCCCTCTGCCTGAGTGGATTTCAATTCCTGTTTCTGACACCCAACTTCAACTGACCAAGACAAATCCCTCCAAATAAGGATAAGAAGAAGATGGTATCTGTTGTAGACAGCTGTCCCAAGACTTCGGACCAGGCCTGTATTTCCAACCTTATCTCTCTTCATTTAAACCCTTGTAATGCATAAACTATATATCCACTTTATAATTGCTACAATAATCATGCTCCTAAGTATACGAGCAATTTTAATACTCTTATGATGCTGGTCACCTTCCTTGTGTTTTAGATGACTTTTTTGGTACTTTTTAACTATGTCCTTCCCTTCCACAATACTTTATTTTCTACCCCTCCAACTCTATGACATAGATTAGAAGCTAATTACAAAACCTTTTAATTAAGCACAAAAACAGCATTTAAGGTTTTCCTGATACTATGCTTATTTTTCCAGTCCACATCTGAATGGGACTCGGATGGCAGTGTCTTTTTACAGTGGACTCATTCCTTGGCTTCACACAAAAATCAGTCCAATTGTTGCATATGAGGCCAACTCTCCCTTTGTAGCACATCTGGGATACCTTGGTGGGTTTCTCTCTTTCAAGGTACAGATTGGAAAGCTTTAAAACAATTTATTATGATGGAAAGATCTCATTCCAGTGTTTGCATTTCATCCCATATTACTAATTATGATAGTGAAACATGGCTAATAGCCCACATTGTTCTTCCTATGTGTCATCTCTGCTAAAGCACATGAAAAATGCCCTAAGCAATCCTACACCTAGTTTTGATTGTTTCATTGGCTCCCTTCAGGTACTGGCTCCCTTTTGTGATCCAGATTGCAATTCCTATTTCCAGATTACTCCTTGGAATTCTTGCATTAATCATAATGTTCAAACTAATCACTGTTTTCTTTAGTCAGTGTTGTAAGACTGGCATGCAGGCTAAAGAGTGATAATTGCTCAATGACTTAAGATTGTAGATCAATATTATAACTCCGGATGAATTTCTTTTCCTGATAAAGATTAGGCCTAAAACTCATTCTTCTAAATTAATCATTCAAGTATTAAGTTTATTACCATTGTTACTATATCTGTTCTGTAATTACAAACAATGTAACCATAAGAAGTCATGTATAAGCACATGTACAATGTTTGTTTGACAATTTAAAAATTGACAAATCACATAACTTATGAAATGCTTCCCCTGTCAATATATATACCTCTATGCTTGTCCACTATATCCAGTTATTTTCCAACATGGATGCTTGGGCAAATCAATGAAATAAAAGCCTAGCACTGAGGGACATGAGGGACCCAGGGCAGGCAGCAACCACCCTGGCACCAAGGGACAGTATGTTGATCATCAATGCTTTCTATCAAAAGATTATTGATCAAAAGGGTAAAATGACAAGAAATTTTCACATATTGAGGTATATGGGGTTAACTATTCTGGTTTAAGCCTGATTTGGCCTGAACTAAAGAAGCTTGACTTACAGTTATTAAACATACATTGCACATCTGCTTTAACCATTAAGGATGCATTAAACATTACCTCAAAGCAAAAGAATGCACTCTTTGAAGATAAAAATGCATACTTCCTATGATGCCAGTATCAGTATTCCTGAAGATAAAGCTTCCTTTCCTGGAAATCAAGGTCACTGTCGAGCTGCTTATCTATGACTAAATATCTCTTTGAAACTTTGATGAATATGTATCCTGGGCCTGTCTGATGTTATGTTCTCTATTCTAAAACCATGCTTCTCCAGAATGCTTTCTACCTTTGTGGAGACTGCCTTCCCAGGCTATAGTCCTCAGCTTGGCTCAAGTAAAATTCACCTTATCTCTGTCTCTCTGCAGAATGGCTACTGGTTATTGGTAATGGTTATTTGACAATGGCTTTCCTTTGTTCCACTTATTGCCAGATAATTGAGGGTCTCCAGACCTTGATCTTAGGGGTAGTGACCCCTATAAACAAAGGTATAGGTGGGAAAAGTAAAGACTGTTTCTCCCAATCTGGTATATAAAATCTAAATTTAGATGTTTGAAATCTGGCTTGGGGGATTTCTGAACTATTAAAAAGCAATACCAAAAATAAGATGAAGAACAAAGGTTGTAAACTCCTCCCATAGGCTCCTTCCATCTCCTTAGGGAGGGGGAAGAACAAGAAGGTAACTTGGAAAACTATTGTAATTTTAAGACTTAAGAATTTTTATGAACATCTCTCTCTGAGTCATGTTTGGATGGGGACACTATCTGAGTCCCAACAAATGTGGTAGACTGTGGCCAGTAAAATCTCCTTAGAGTCTACTAGCTAAACAGTCATTAATTTATCCCAAGACATGAAGGGCTACACACTACAGGGAAAAAGAGTGCTGCTAGTTCACCTTCAAAAACATTTAGATATAGGTAAATAAATAAAGTCTTCCATATATCTCTTTGGCTCACTTGTCATCCCCACATCATTACATGGTTTCTCTAAGCAGAATAAATTGTCCATATCAGAGCAAAGCAGAGAAATGAAAATAATAAACGACAAGGACAATGACAACCACAACAACAAAGGAGCAGAGGCTGGTTCTCATGAGGGTGGATAGGGGATGCAATCAAGCTAGTCCTGCTTCTACTTCCCCATCAGTCTGCCATTCGCTTCTTATTTCTGATCTCCTTTTTATTTCCAATGGGCTGGCGATACAAGGTTGGTAAATCCCTATCCTGTTCTCCCCCAACCCCACTCTATGTGTAATACTGACTCCAGGGAAAGAGGAATCAAGTTGCTGCTGCAGCAGCAGCATGAAGTGGGCCAAGGGCAGCTACTTGGCTTCTCTTTACCTAGAACCAAAGGTATTTCTGGGAAAAAGCAGATACCAATTGATACCAGTAGACTGTGCTGTTGCTGTTGGCAACTGTAGCTTCTTCTCAAGGGTAGAGCATCCCCATCTCACCAGGCTTTTCACTTATGTAGCTGGTATGAGCATAATACCAGCAGCATAAAGCATAGGAAAGTCACGGAAGTAATATAGTTGATTGATTACGGGGACCTAAATGAACCAGTAAGCTAAAGTAGGTCAAGAAGGTGGTGAGAAAAACACTAGAAAGACACAAACTTAGAAAAGACATGGACATTTTAGACCTTTTTAGTAGCTAAGGTAAATGGGGTATTTTAGCATGTAGAAAGTTCCCTTTAACTAAAACCATCCCAATCACTGGCCCTGTTCTTTTTGGCTCACAAAATTCCAGAATATTAGTGCTGGAAGGGCCCTAAGAAACCATTTGGTATAATAATACCTTCAAATCACAGAGGAGGAAACAGATCCAGAGAGGGGAAATATCACGTTCTCAGATTATGCATTTATTTCACTCTGTACGTTTGCAGTAAAGGCAAGACCAGAGAAGCTGCCTTGAAGGGCAAAATAAATACAAAGGGGTGCTGGTCCATCGAGGACAGCTCCTGGTGACCACAGTTACCTGTGAAGGTGCGACGGTCATCGTCTGAACTGTGCTCACTGATGCACAGGCGGGTAGAACACACTAAATTGCCAGCAAAGCAAGAGCAGACATTGCAGTCGATGTTAAAGGATGCTCCATGACCTGAGAGAAAGAGAAATAAAACGGTGACCTATAGCATGTATTTATGAAGAAAGCATAAATTAAAAACTTAATAGTTTTTAAAAGTTATAAAACAGAAATTTTTGAAGGATGGCTTTTGAATATACAAATTAGGCAGTTCAATCTGTAATACTTACATTTTCTTATTTACCTCTCATCATATCCTTCCAAACCCCTAATTTGCTGTCTCACCAGACTGATCCCTATTCTGAGAATGCTTCGCACACAGTTAAGAGTTCAAGTGTTAATTAATTACTATTTTCTATTAGTCCCTTCTTGAGGAGGTTTCTAAGAGGGTTCCTTATAAATCCTAGTGTCCTCTCAAATTTGTTGTTACAGTGCTGTCAAGTGGATTCCAACTCCTAGTGACCCTGGTACAGCAGATTGGAACCCTGCCTGATCTTTTTTGCACCAACCTCTCACCTTCCAGTGCTCTATCAGATAATATTCTATTGTAATTCATAGAGTTTTCATGGCCAATTTCTTCAGAAGTGAGTGGCTAGGTCCCTCTTTCTAGTCTGTCTTAGTCTGGAAGCTCCACTGAAACCTGTCCACCATGGGTGACCCTGCTGGTATTTGAAATACTGGAGGCATAGCTTTCAGCATCACAGCAACAAAAAGCCACCATAGTATGATAACCGACTGATGGGTGGGTGGTTTCCTGAGTGGGAAATGAACCTGGGCCATGGCAGTGAGAGTGCTGAATCTTAACCACTAGTCCACTGGGGCTACACACGACTTGGTAAGTGAGGGCATTTAGGAGGCAGAGAGAGAGGAGATTCACAAAGAACATTCATAGTTTGGAAAACCATGAACAGGAATAGCCACAACAGGGAAAGCCAGTTGAGTGGGAGGGCAGGAGAGGAGACAATGTGGAGTTTGGTGCTGACATACTGAGCACGAGGGACCTGTGGCATGTTCAGGAGACGTTCAACAGGATACTGGAGATCCAGGTCTGAAGTTCAGGAGAGAGGAGGTTCTAATCCCAGCAATGGTGGGCAAAGGGTTTAGGGCAAACTCTTCTGCTGAAAGCAACCAGAAGAGCTGGGGAAAAAGTTCAGAACACCTCTTTGAAGGCATCAGAGGACTACCAAAGCAGTGAGGAACTGGGGCCCAAGTTCTAGGAGAGGACGGAAGCCAAGGAAAGTGAGCCTCACACTTGGAGCCAGCTTCCTCTCAAGGGGATTGTTAGTTCTGAAAGCAGAGGCCGAGAAGCTGAGTAGAGCTTCCGTGAACAGGGCTGGGGAGATCAACACTTGAGGGCCTGCCAAGAGGGAGGGACCCTGATAAATGTACCAGGCTTTTTGTTGGGACCCTGTGGGCTACACGCTAGGAATAAAGGTGAAAGTAGACTAAAGCCCAGCTTTGAGTCATATCAATCCTTGGTTGAATTAAAGTGATCCAGGCTTTCTGGGGCCCTTAGCCTAGAGCAGCCCACGACAAGCAAAAGTGAATTCTCTCTGATGGAAAAAATTCCATCCAAAAATAACTAAGCACGTAAAGACGCGTGCTCAGAGACATTTTCAGGGACAGACAACAGAAATCCCGGGGGATTCACATAATGGTGTTATCAGACCAGATTTAAAATAGCTATGACTAAGGAGTTCAAGGAAGTGAAAGAAAATATCGAGAATTTCAGCAGTTTCATAATTTGAGAACTCAAATTTACAGTATCTGATAGTAAGAATTCAATAGGTAAATTTAATAGTGGGTGAGACATAGCTGAAAAGAGAATTAGTGAACCAGAGGATAGAGCAGAAAAATATTCAGGCTGAGACACAGAATCAAAAGGATGAAAATAGAGGAAAGAGCATAAAAAACAAATGGGATATGAGGAATAAGATTTATAAACATGTAATTTTAGCTGGAAGGAGAGAATAGAGCAATGTTAGAAGAGAAAACGGCTAAGAATTTCCCCAAATTGATGAAGAAGTCAAGCCACAGACTCAAGAATCACCATGAACTTCAAGAAGATAAAAATACCCTCCCTAAAAGAATTTTTAAAAATCTACATGCCTCTTGTTTGTTTTAATTGACATCTAAAATATTCATAATAACTAATTGGTTGCAAGGCATGTACTTTCTACTATATTATAAATATTGATTCTTTCAAATAAAATTGTTCCATTGCTCTTTCCAATGTATCCAGTGGCAGCTAGATACCACAGTGATTTGATACTCACCAACATCCATTAATAAAATACATGACAAAGCTTTTCATTAATATTAAGAAATTTCAGATTCTCCATGAACACACACTACTATTCCAACACCTACCCTTAAGTTCTTCCTATTAAATTTTTTTTTGTGTTGGAAAGACTTTTATTGATCACCCTATCATAGTTCTTTATAACAAAAATATGTAATATAAATATAATGGACTTAAAAAAAAATCCCTTGACCATAAGGCTTGGAATGCTGAAATTTTGTTTTGGATTGACATCATTATAATTATTAGTAGTATACATTTAATTAAAACAACAAAATATACCAGAAATTTCATAATTATTAAATACAAAAATCACAATTGTATTAGAAATTCCTGTCTTAAAGAGATGGATGGGCTTGCATTATCTATTGCTGTGTAATAAGTTATCGTAGAACATAGCACCTTAAAATAACAAACATTATTTCACACAGTTTCTGATGGTCAGGAATCTGGGAGGACTTCACTGGGTGGTTCTGACCCAGGATCTCCCATGAAGCTGCAATCACACTATTGGCAGGGGCTGCAGCCACTGAAAGCTTGATGGGGCAGAGTAATCTACTTTCAAGGTCACTCACATGGCTGCTGGCAGGAGGCCTCAGTTCTTTGCCACATGGGACTCTCCAAAACGTTGTTCAAGACACAGAAACTGGCATCCTCCAGGGTGAGTAATCCAAGAGAGAAAGAACGACCAAGACACAGGCATGGTATCTTTTAACAACATCACTGAGACACAATTCAGATACCACACAATTTACCCATTTAAAATACAGTTCAATGGCTTTTAGTATATTCACAGAGTTGTGCACCCTTCTCCACTACCAGTTTTAGAACATTTTCATTATTACCCCCAAAAGAAACTTTGCTCCTTTGGTTGCCACTCCTCAGTCCTCTCAACTCCCTCAGCTCCAGGCAACCACTAATTTTCTACTTTCTGTTTCTATAGATTTGCTTATTGTGAACATTTCATAAAAATGGAATTGTATGGTAAGTGGTCCTTTGTGACTTGCTTCTTTCACTTAGCATAATAATTTCAAGGTTCATCCATGTTTTAGCATGTATCACTACTCCATTCCTTTTTATGGCTGAATAATATTCCATTGTATGGATATACCACTTTTATCCACCACCCATTTTCAGTTGATGGACATTTGGGTTGTTTCCATGTTTTGACTATTATGTATTGTTTTGCTACGAACATTCACGTACAAGTTTTTGTGTGCACATAGGTTTTCATTTCTTGAGTATACATACCTAGGAATGAAATTAATGGGTATATATTCCCAGTGTATGTATTACTGGGTGATATGATAGCTGTATGTTTAATCATTTGAGAAACTGCCAGACTGTTTTCCAAAGTGGTTGCATCATTTTACATTCCCTCCAAATTGTGAAAGGTTCCAATTTTCCCACATCCTCACTAACCCTTCTCATCCATCTTTTTTATTATAGCCATCCTATTGGGTGTGAAGTGGCATCTCACTGTGGTTTTGATTTGCATTTCACTGATGGTTAAAGATACTGAGCATCCTTTTGGCTCTGTGTATATCTTCTTTGAAGAAATGTCTTTTCAGATCTTTTTTCATCTTTTAATTGGGCTTTTTACCTTTTATTGTTGAGTTGTAAGACTTCTTTTATATTCTAATGCAAGTTCCTTGTCAGATATGTACTTTTCAAATATTTTCTCAATTTGTGTCTTTTCATTTATTTCATGATGTCCTTTGAGGCCCCAAAGTTTTTAATTTTGATGATGGTTATTTATGTTTTTGGAGTAATATCTAATAAACCATTGCCTACCCAAAGTCATAAAGACTTACACTTATGTGAGACTGATAAAAGTTTTTTAAAAATTCAAAATCAGGAATAAAAAAGGGATCACTGAAAAATCTAAAGACATCTCAAAGATCATAAGAGGATATACAAATAATTGTATATTAATAACTTTGAAACTTTAAATGAAATAGAGAACTTCCTAGAAAAGTAAAACTTAAAAATAACATAAGGAGAAATAGAATTGAATATTCCTATAACTAGTAAAAACAATTTTATAAATTAAAAACTATCCCACAAAGAAAACTCCATTGGCATCATTAGTGAAAATTCCAGTCTTTATAAATTCTTCCAGAGAAGTTTAAAAACAAGGATACACTCCTCAACTCATTTTATGGGAATCATAACCTTGATACAAAACCCAACAAAGACAGTGAAAGAAGGAAAATAACAGGCAAAGTCATTCCTGAATACAGTTGAAAAAATGCTGAGTGAGAGTAAGATGGAGTAAGCACATTCCTCCTGGTCTTTCCCACTGAACGCAGCTATTACACCTAGCCAGAATGCAGGGAGCAGAAGCTATTGGAGGACTCTGAACAGTAGACAGTGGCAGGAGAATTGGGGAGGAAAACCAAAATATGAAGTGCTGAACTGGTAATGAGTTCACCATTTTTTATCCTCTGGTCATTCTTCCACTTGACCTCAAACACAGCATGGCTATGAAATGCATGGCAGAGAGGGCTAAGTAAAACTCTGGCTTTCTGGCTGGGGAACCAAAAAGAGGAACCCAGGGAAAGGAATAGTACAAGGGAGATCATAGAGAGGAAGGAGCTTAGGAAAATGACCCCATGAAATTGTTTAGACTCTCCTGGGCTCAGCCCTGAGCTGTACTTAGGTTGATCTGGTCTTAATCAGCATAGAAAAGACTTGAAGAACTGGATTTACAGTCATCCAGGTCCCAGACTGGTGACTGAGTGGTGCGCACATGACACAGATCTGAATACCA